GTGAACGAAAACTTTTCTGAAGCTCAGGTTAAAGTGTCTTACGTGTTCTGATGGGTTTGCACAGGTTTGGGTAGGGGTTTCTTGGCAATGAGCTTTGTTGTACATCTTGGTCAAGATGCGGCATTGCGTCTACCAATGTGGCAAAGTGTAGATGGACTTTCGAGGTTAGCCCTAAACCCCTTAACCCCTAAATCCTCGCCTAGGCAAGTCCGAGAGTGAGTGCTGAAACCCCTATACCCTAAACCCTAGCCAGCAGGAAGAGTGCTTGGAAGGCCTGGGGTCCTGTTTGCTGGGGCTAAGCTTTACAACTTCCAGCTACGAATCCGAACTTATAAGGAAATGAGGAGCAGCCCCATGCTGACATGTAGACATGCAGATGTGTGTTCGTCTTCTGGTTAAGTTTTGGAGTTCACCAGTACAGTGGGACCATTACTACCTCCTCAATGTCTGGTCCCGTTTGGGGATTGTGGGCGGTCTTTGAGGCATTAGGTCAGATTGTTGGCCTTGGGGACGGGGTTGACGCGATGCGGGTTGTGTTTGTTTCTGCGGGTTGGGAGCGTTGGTTGCGAGGTTCGAGTACTGCCAGCCAGAAACCACATCTGGCGAGGCATTGCAACCTGAACCTAAACCCGACTGTAAAGCCCTATAAACCCTGAAGCCCTAAACCCTAAACCCCTAAACCTAAAACCCTAAGCCCAAAACCCTAAGCCCAAAACCTGGAGCCCATAAAAAAATCCGATGTCGCCGATCAGGTTCAGAGTAGCGGACGAATAGGATCTCTCCCTGCCTGGTTTGTTTGTCCAAGTGCTCCTTGGCTTGACAAATCAGACTCAAGAGTTGGTGTTCTATAGAATGAAACCAAGATTCATGTTTAGGGTCCTAAACCCTAAACCCTAAACCCTAAACCCCTTCGTAGCTTCTTGGAAGCTGACTCTCAGGGCTCTCGTGTGGCGGCTCAGAGCTGCCCTGGTATGATATGATTAGGGTTCATATGGGTGGTTGTCAAAATCATGGTCCCTTTTTGGGTCCTTATTATAATACGGCACCTTTTATTTAGGGTACCCCAAAAGGGACCATAATTTTGACAACTACCCATATAGTACAATACAAGCAACACTGTTTTGGAATAATACAGTCACACTCTGGCTAGCCGACGTGGAAAACCGTCGGCGCATGGGCTTTTGATGAGAAAAGCCAGAGGCCTGAAACGCAGACACCATGAAAGCCAACAGTCACACCAATGTCCCCTGAAGCCCACAGGCCCTAAACCCTGAACCCTTATGAACACTAAACCCTAAAACCTAAACCCCCGAACCATTATGACCACAAAACCCCCAAACCTGGACCCGAAACGCTGACCCCGCCCTTAGCCTTTCTGCAGCCCTCCGAGTCTGGAGGTCGGTGAGGTGAAAAATGGTCTGATGAAGATGTTTGGACCCTAAGGTTCCATGTACTTATACGGTATATACGTTGGCCTCAAAAGGGGTCTCTATATATATATATATATATAGATATAGATATAGATATATAGATCATGCCCTAAATAGGAAGTATATAGGTGCATGGAGTCTAAGGGTAAGACCAGGCAACTTCAACAGCCGCAAACTCGGCAACAGCCATTCCCGGTCCAAAAGCGGGTCTGGAATTCAACATCGAAGGCTACAGTAAGCTCTGTCAACACCGGATAGTCTTACACCCTCCTAAACCAGAAGCCCTAAACCCAACCATCTGTGTGTATTACGGCGACCAGCTAATATGGAACCTCGCCTGGCATGTC